TACATTTTATTTTGCTGGGTATTAGGTAAATCCTTTCAAACTGGAAACTCGTTCTTCAGTTCTGAGAAATTTCCTAGCATATATTCCCATTGTCAACGAATGAAAAACCAAATCTCATATGATGTAGGGCTGATTACAGTCCATTTTTGGTTTAGTATTTTCTGGGGTCATCTTTGCTTGTTTTCTTTGAGTTTAATTCTTGCCTTTTCTTTAAAGCACTTTTTAAAACCTTTTATTGTAGGACATTTCAGGCATATATAAAAGAGAGAACAGTATAAAGAGTCTCCTACACCCACACCCAGCTTCATTTGTCATTAATATGTAGTTAATTTTATTTCACCTGTATCTTCTGTGACCTCCAGTGTAGATATTACATATTTTATCCATAAATATATGCACCTCAAGAAATAAAGCCTTTAAAAAACCATAATCACAATACTATTAAAATGCCTAAACTATGAACAGTACTTTAATGTAACATGCAGTTAGTATTCACATTTCTCTATTAGCCTGTAAATACTCTTAGCCATAAATACTGTTTTATAATTGATTCTTCAAACAGGATCCAAACAGCGTTTATGCACGGTAGTTGGTGGATATCTTTAATCACTTGTTTGTTGAAAAAACAGAGTAATTTGTCCCATAGAATTCCTCACATTCTGGATTTGGTTGCTTGCATCCTGCAATGTTGTTTAACATTTATTCTATCCCTGTATTTCTTGTAGAGGTATCATCAGACTCAAGTTCAGTTTCAGGGGACAAAACTCTTTTGTAAGTAGTGGGGCATATTCCCTTTTGAATTACATCAAAAGATAGATAATGCCTGGTTATTCACTTGGTGTGACTTTAACATTGATCATATGCAAAGTAACCAGTCTGTAAACAGTACAATTGATTTTGTGTATTAATCTTTTATCATGTAATCTTGATGAGCTTACTAGGTTTAGCAACTTTTAAAAATATTTCCTCAGAGCTTTCTACATATACAATCATGTTGTCTGTGAAAAAAATTTTTATGTTTCCTTTCCGATCTGTGCCTTTTATTTCTTTTTCTTGTCTTATCAAAGTGGCTAGAATCCCTAGTGAGTGTTGACTAGAAATGGTAAGCGTAGACATCTTTGCTTGTGTCCCAATCTTGGGAGGAATGTATTCAGTCTTTTACCAGTATGGTGTTAGCAATAGGTTTTTCTCAGATGCCCCTTAGCAGGCTGTGGAAGTTTCCTTCTGTTCCTAGTTTTCTGTGAATCTTTCTCATGAATTAGTGTTTGATTTTGTCAAGTGCTTTTTTCCTGCATTTAATGAGATGATCATTTTGTAAAAGATTGTTAATTTGGTGAGTTGCACTGATTGCAACATTAAACATTAAAGCAGCCTTGCATTCCTGGGCTAACCTACACTTGGTCATGATCTATTACCTTGTTTATATGCTGTGGTTTTGATTTGCTAAAATTCCGTTAATAACTTTTGACTTTGCGTTTATGAGGTTTACTGGTCTTTAGTTTTCTTACGATTATTTTTTTCTGGTTTGGTGTTGGGGTCATCCTGGCCTAATGAATGAAGTGGGAACTGTACCTTCCTCTTCAGGGTACTGGAAGAATTTATGTAGAATTGGTATTGCTCTACTGTCTTCTTTCTTACATTGTTCCCAGTGAGAAATCTGATATCATTCTTAATCTTTGTTCCTCTGTACAGTGTCTTTTTTTCTTCTGGTTTTAAGATGTTCTCTTTTTCACTGATTTTTGAGTAATTTTACTATGTATGATGCACCTTGTAGTTTTCTTCGTGTTTCTTGTGCTTGAAGTTCTCTGAGCTTCTTGAGTCTTTTGATGTAATTTTTGGAAAATTGCAGCCATAATTTTTTCAAAAATGTTTCCATCTCCCCAACCCCACTTGGGGGCCCATTTTCATGTATTTTTGTCCCTTGGGGTTTCATTTTGGGTAATTTCTAAGACTGTGCCTTCATGTATATGGATCGTTCCTCTGTCACGTCTAAATTTCTGTTACTCCCATCTAGGCTATTTTTCCACTCAGACAATTAAAAAAAAAAAAAAAACTTTAAAGGTTCAATTTGGGTCTTTTTAATATTTTCTATGTTTTTACCTAACAAGCTCATTCTTTTTTTCTTTTTTTTTTAAACCACTTGAACATATGGTATACAGTTACAGTAAATGGCTTTAATTTCTCTCTGATCATCTGTGTCATTTCTGAGTCAGTTTGATTTGATTGTTGTTGCTCTTGTTGTTTTTCCCCCTCGTCGTGGGTCATGGTTTCCTGTTTCTTTACATACCTGTTGGTATTTGATTCAGTGCTGGAAGTATCAATTTTACCTTGTATTCTGGATATTTCTTATTCCTTTACATATTTTTGAGCTTTGTTCTGGAACACAGTTGTTACTTGGCTATAGTTTGGTACTCTCCAGAAGGATTTGGCATACCCCAGCGTGCAGACCGCCTCTAGTCATGCCTGTCCATTTACACATTGGGTTTGTAGTTCCTTTTGTGCTACAATCACAGCATAGATGTGACAGAGAAACCAGATGGTCTGCCAAGCTCAATATTTATTACCTGATCCTGTACAGAAAAGGTTTGTCGTTCCTTGCTTTCGAAGGTTTATCTTCAAGCTTTTGGGCAGGACTAGAGCATCTGTGGGGTAGGGCTGATTTCTCCCCGCTCCTGAAGCAGTACCCTTCTCAGGACCGCACCTGATGCTTGGGTTTTAGGAGGTTTCTCCCTCGGGCTGCTTGGTAGACACCGACCCCGTGTCCTGTTGGGTATTTGGCGATTATTCCACCTGCTCCTTTCCAGTGGTTCTCTCCTGCGCTCTGGATGCTTCCTTCGCCTGCGTGTGCCGATCAGTACTCAGCTACGGACTCGAGGGGAGTCGTAGCAAACCGTGGAGCTCCCTCTCTCTCCATGTCCTGGTTTCTGGCTGGGATGCTCCACATGTGCATTCACTAGTGCTCTGCCCTGTGAATTCTAGCCGCCCTGGCCTCCACGAACTCCCAGCTCTGCTCATCCACTCCCTGAGGTCTGTTTGGGCTTTCTGTCCTCTGTTGCCAGCTCTGCGCAGGCAGCAAACTGGCAGCTGTCCTCCCCCTCAACCCTTCCCTTCTCTCACCATTCCCCATTTTGGCTGCCAGTTGTCCATTATGTTAAAGCCGCAGTTTCATGTTATTTTGTCTGTTTAAAAGATTTTTTTAAATTTTTTTTTTTTACTGTTTTTATTTATTTTTGAGACAGAGAGAGACAGAGCATGAATGGGGGAGGGTCAGAGAGAGAGAGGGAGACACAGAATCTGAAACAGGCTCCAGGCTCCGAGCTGTCAGCACAGAGCCCGACGCGGGGCTTGAACTCACGGACCGCGAGATCATGACCTGGGCCGAAGTCGGACGCTCAACCGACTGAGCCCCCCAGGCGCCCCCGTTTAAAAGACTTTTTGAGAGCCAAGGTGGTCAGTCTGGTTTCCGTTACTCTATCATGGCTGCACGCAAAAGTCTTCAATACTTCGCATTTAACAATGAAAGGAAATAGTAGTGAATTCAGTGTTGCTCTTGCTGGAGAATGTACTGATTCTTTCTACGGCATTTCATGTCCCTTTCCTCTACCGACAGTCTTACTTTGAATTACTATAAAAGTTTCCTCTAATATCGCTTTCCCTTTTCTTTCCAGTCATAGATAAAGCTGTCAAAAGCACAGTTATCATGGAAATAGAAACATTTAAATTACTGGCACGATAAGCCTATTTCTTGCTGTAGCCATTCAGAGCATCGATTTGTCACTGCCGTGGGTGCTTTGAAGTGAAACTGTGCTTAGATATAAAAAGTTTTAAAACCCACTTTGATTCTGTGTGAAGTTCACAGTTTTTCCAGTGCAGTCCCGGAGTTCAGTTCAGTTGAAACCGTATGGCTCCGCTCCAACGATAAGAACCCTTTAGTGGACTATACGACATGCTTAGATTCAGACATTTCTGACCCGCCATAGACCTCAATAGCGTTATTTGGTTTTCTTTTGTGTCCCTACTCTGATTTCATAGCTGCTAGTGGCTATCCAACAGCAGTGTTTAAAACATACAGTGATTGTTTTCTCTCTTTAATTATCTCTAATAAAATGAAAGAAAAAAATCAAAGCAGTGACTTTGAAATCAGATAGGAGGATGATTTGAAGGAGACCAAATGGGCTATTGGTACAGTTTTTTAAGGCTCTGGGTATTGTCTTGCTATTTTGGGGATGAGCTTTTGCAGAGCTGCTTCCATCAGTACTGCTAAGAATAGAGGAACTTTGTGGGAACATTTTTTTCTTTTAGGAGGTAATTTTTCCCGCTAACTATGCCATAAAAAATTGAAGAATGATCTTAATTTCTCATTTTAAAATGACTGTCATACCAAGCCAGACTACTTAACACTTCAGCGTTGGAACACATGGATTTGTCAATAAATTTAAGCGTAATAGTAGTCTCCATTACTACTATGTTGTTTGAGTAATATATGATATTCACATTTTAAGTGGATATTGATCTTCATTCAGTGACTGAATTGGAGCATCTCAATTCTTGCAAAACTGCTGATTCTTTTCTACTTTGTGGGTATGCAGCCAGACATAAATTCTAGCCAGCATTCCACAGATATTTCTTTCCTTTGCCTCTTTACACAGTACTCTTCAGGAAGTAATAATACTTTTTGCAGGGGCCCTGGGTGGCTCAGATGGTTGAGCGTCTGACTTTGGCTCAGGTCGTGATCTCACGGTTTGTGAGTTCGAGCCCCACGTCAGGCTTTGTGCTGACAGTGCAGAGCCTGCTTGGGATTCTCTCTCTCTCTCTCTCTCTCCCTCCCTCCCTCCCTCCCTGCCCTTCCCCTGCTCTCTCTCTCTCTCTCAGAAATAAATACACATTTAAAAAATTAAAAAAAAAATAATACTTTTTGCATACTAAAAATAGCAAAGAGAAACTGTCTTTAAAACAGCAGACTTCCAACGTATTGCTTTGTGTTTTGTTATGTCCTGAAGGTACTTGAAGTTTATTGAGTTGCCCTTGGCTGAGAGGAGGTTTTGTCAAAGATGCCAGCAGTTGCTGTTGCCGGACGACTGGGAGAAGCACCGCGAGCACTGGGTGGTGGGCAACATCTCTGCCGGCCAGCTCTGCAGGCCCAGCCAGCTTCTCCGTCCGCTGGAGAACAAGAAGACAAACGCCCAGTACTTGTTTGCCGAGCGTACCTGCCACTTCCTGGTAGACCTGCTTCCTGCCCTTGGGCTCACGAGAGTACTGTGCGTTGGCACACCAAGGTAGGTCACGCGATCTTATTTACTTATTTTTTGATTTACATCCAAGTTAGCTAGCATCTAGCGCAACAGTGATTTCAGGAGTAGATTCCTTAATGCCCCTGACCCATGTAGCCCCTCCCCACTCCCAATGATTTTTTTTTTTTTTTAAACTTCTATCCCCACTGTTGAAACTGTGAGACAGAATTATCAAGCAGCTGTGTACTATGTTCCGAGACATTGTACGCAGCTTTATTTATTTTTTTTTTTTTTTAATTTTTTTTTTTTAACGTTTACTTATTTTTTTGGGACAGAGAGAGACAGAGCATGAACGGGGGAGGGGCAGAGAGAGAGGGAGACACAGAATCGGAAACAGGCTCCAGGCTCTGAGCCATCAGCCCAGAGCCCGACGCGGGGCTCGAACTCACGGACCGCGAGATCGTGACCTGGCTGAAGTCGGACGCTCAACCGACTGCGCCACCCAGGCGCCCCCGTACGCAGCTTTAAATATACAAAGGAAGTAGAAAGCATGGTCCTTCTCCTAAGGAGTTTGTATAGGTCATTTGAGAGAAATCTTTTTTTTTTTTATGTTTGTTTATTTTTGAGAGAAAGAGAGAGAGGGAGGGAGAGAGAAAGAGTATGAGCAGAGGAGGGGCAGAGAGAGGGAGACGCAGAATCCGAAACAAGCTCCAGGCTCTGAGCTGTCAGCCCAGAGCCTGACGCAGGGCTTGAACCCATGAACTGTTGAGATCGTGACCTGAGCTGAAGTCGGACGCTTAACCGACTGAGCCACCCAGGTGCTCCTCGAGAGAAACCTTTATAGAATTCTGTTATATGATGGAAGGTTCCTTCTGATTTGATTCTTGACTTGTTTACAATTTTAGACTTCTCTTTTTCAAATACGTTCTACCTTTTAAAAAATACTTGAAAACTGAAACAGTTGTATTTGCCAAATTCACTTCAGTTGTTTCATTGAAATATTAGAAATACCAGGAGAACATTGGTGGGTTTTTGTTTGTTTGTTTTGTGTTGTTTTTTTGTTTTTGTTTTTTGGGTTTTTTTTTGGTTTATTTGCTTATTATCTATGGCATTTGTAATTCCTTATTAAATTTGCTTTCATTAATTGTTTTAGGTTGCATGAGCTGATCAGGTTGAAAGCATCAGGTGACGAGAAGTCTAACATTAAAAGCCTTTTACTGGATATTGATTTTCGGTAGGTTTACAAAGTATGGTATTTATTCTCATTCATTGTCGCCTGCCTTCCTTCCTTCCTTCCTTCCTTCCTTCCTTCCTTCTTTAATGTTTATTTATTTTTGAGAGAGAGAGAGCCCGAGTAGGGGAGGGGCAGAGAGAGAGAGAGAGACACAGAATCTGAAGCAGGCTCCAGGCTCTGAGCTGTCAGCACGGAGCTCGACCCGGGGCTTGAACTCACTAACTGCGAGATCATGACCTGAAAATCAGACGCTTAACTGACTGGGCCACCCGGGCACCCAGTTGTCTCTTATTCCTTGTTAATGTTTTCTTCTTATTGTTTGTTACTGGTTGCATTCCTTTAACATTCAGAAGTAGTAATTGGTTAGAAGCCGCCTTTTTAGTCATATAAACTCCACTTGTAATCTTCCGTATTTCAAACACGAAGGCAGTGGATTCCTTCTTGCTGATGTGCTTCCTAAATTCTTTCAACCAATGTGTCTCATTGTCTTGGGCTTATAATTTAGAGATCAATTCTTACTGAGTGAAATTTCTTCTCATACACTTATTTTTCAAAGATAATTGTGAACTTCTTTCAGGATTTTGTTTCATCATGTTGGAAATGTGATAAGATACTTATTTTAAAAGATCTTCCCAGATGATGTGCCTGTTGTCTTTCACTGGAAATAGCCTGAAGTCAAGGGAGAGCTAGGGAAGAGACAGGTGTTAAAGCAGAGGATTAACAAACAGGCAAAGTCTGTGGGAGAAGGCCAGAATTAAATGGCGTCTGATGTGTTGGGACAAGCGGAGATGAGACTGACAGAGGACCACGGGTCATACCTCCCCTCAGGTGGTGATTTAGAAGCACATGTGTTCATCCACAGTCTCTGTGATTCTGTAAACTTGGACTACCCTTCCTTACTTGCTGTAATTACTTGGATTCCCCAAGATCAGGGTGATGCTATAAAACACTGTGTTCTTAGTATCTTTTACTTGTTCTTGACTATGTCAAAGGGAGCAGGCACTGTGTTTCTTTTTATTTAATCTGATAGAGTCTGTTTGGCTAATATTCCAGTATTTGTCAGAGAGAATCTGTGAAATTTCATGTGCTTTCTCTCGCTAAGAACAAGGCCAACAGATTTTTAAAGTGAAAAAGTTACAACAAGAAGTACAGCTTTTATCATTTATTATTACTATTTTTAAGATTTCCAGGTCAACTTTAGGTGGTCTAATAGAGGCAGCTACATTTCTCAGAAATAAGCCACAGTTTCTGTAACCTCTCATTCCGTATTAACAGGACTAGCACAGTTGGCGATTTCTGCTTAACATGAGCGTGGCTTGGCAAGATGTAATTCCATAGGTGATAATACAGACTTTTATTTATTTATTTATTTATTTATTTATTTTTTTAAAAATTTTTTTTTCAACGTTTATTTATTTTTGGGACAGAGAGAGACAGAGCATGAACGGGGGAGGGGCAGAGAGAGAGGGAGACACAGAATCGGAAACAGGCTCCAGGCTCTGAGCCATCAGCCCAGAGCCTGACGCGGGGCTCGAACCCACAGACCGCGAGATCGTGACCTGGCTGAAGTCGGACGCTCAACCGACTGCGCCACCCAGGCGCCCCGATAATACAGACTTTTAAAAGAGAAATTCAATTTCTTTTTCTTAAATTGAGATATAATTCACTTAAAACTCACCAAGTTAAGGTGTATATGCCTGTGGTTTGGGGTGTATTCATTATGTTTTGCAGTAATCACCACTATCTAATTCCAGAACATTTCTGTCACGCTGAAAAGAAACCTACTCACTTGCCCTGGCGGTCAGCGATCTGCTTTCTGTCTCTGTGGATTTGTCTCTTCTGTATGTTTTCCATAAATGGAATCATACAATGTGTGGCCTGAGTATGTGGCTTCTTTCACTTCGTGTAATGTTGTCAAGGCTTATCCGGGTCATGGCACCTCACGGTACTTTGTTCCTTGTAAGGCTCTGTTAACATTCCATTGTATCGATAGAGCAGATTCTCTTTTAAAACACCACATTCCTTTCCTAAGGAATGATTGTTAAGTTATTGTAAACATGTTATTTTGAAGGTAGAAGTGTAACTTTGGGTTCTTTCGATAACAGTATTCACAATAACTGGTGCTTGCGTTGAGTGCCTGTCCTGTGTCAAACCCTGCTGTAACTCATTCCGTCTTCACATTCACCTCCCCGGTGAGGTCGGTGCTGTCCTCATCCTCATTTGCCAGGTGAGAAAGCTGAGGCACAAAGAGGTGAACAGGCTTGACCTTGTGGTTGTAAGTGGCCAAGTCAGGATTCAAACCCAGTTAGTCTGGCTCCAAAAGTTAAGTTACCCTCTGAAAATAACTTTGCTTTTGAACTTGTATATGAGCCTTTGTTCTGTAGCCCGTTTCTCTCTTGTCATCCTTCCATCTCCCTTTCTCCATCTGTCCCCGTGCCTGGTCCACGAAGGTTCGTCGGCAGCCGGTTTGCAGGCCCCTCACGTGTTTACAAGAAGGCACTCATTAGTCGGGCACCTTATATTGGAGCCCTGGAAGTCTGTTTATGTCAAAGAGAACGTGTTGGCTCACGTTACCGGAGCCTGTGATACAGCAGGCCTCAGTCCAGGCGAGGTCCTGGGTGCTGCCCTGTGTCGTTCGGGCTCCGTCTTTCTCTCTGCACCTCTCATTCTGTCTTTCTCTGGATTGGCTTTATTCTCCAGACAGTATACATCACACACTTTGACAGCAGCAGCTTTGAGCCCCTGTAGTCTTAGCTTCACTGTGCAGTGGCCGGAGGCACTCTTTCCTGAGAGCCCCAATGGGGGAAGGGCTGGCTGGGCTGGGGCCATCTGCCCGTTCCAGAACCATCTCTGTGGCCTGCCAGGTAGGGTGGCCCGGCAACCCTGACCAACCACATGGAGTGGGTTCACCAAAGGAAACCCTCTCTTACCATAGGTACGTGAGAGATGACAAAAATCACATGTCCACAGCTGAATTATCTAACATCATGTATATCAGTAGGCAATAGTGCTCATGTCCCTGCCTTTGGGACTTTTACCTCCATGAAAATGGTACAGTGTTGTCTTTCTTTGGTACAGTCATGGTTCTTTGTGTTCTGATTCATTCAAGTCAAGCTTTTTCCAAGCCAGTTGTGGTGGACTGTCTTGTGCACAAACTAGAAAAAAATCAGTGATTCATTGTGATTTGCTCAAATTCCAAGAATCTCTGGTTTACTTTTAACAAATCTTTCTATTTTTATTTTTTTGACAGTGTGTGTGTGAGCAGGGGAAGAGGAGAGGGAGAGAGAGAGAATCTTAAGCAGGTTCCACTCCCGGCCAGGAGCTCAACACAGGGCTGCATCTCATGACTGAGATCGTGAGCTGAGCTGAAATCAAGAGTCAGACCTTAACCAACTGAGCCATCCAGGAGCTCCTATTTTAGCTCTTTAAAGAGACAAGATCTTTAATTCCATCACCCAAAACATTCTGGATTTTGGCTTTTTAGGTCTTTTTTATGCATATAAACATTTTGAAAAGAGAGAATCATAATCTTTTTTCCCCACCATATATCAGTCATATTTTCTTTTTTTAAACTGAGGCATATTTCATGTAGGAAAAGCAGGGTTTTAGTATTATTCACAAGGTTGTGCAACTGTCACCACCACCTAATTCCAAAACACTTCCATCACCTTTTTTTTTTGTTGTCGTTTGTTTAAAATGGAAATTTTTTTGTGTGTGTGCTCAGTACACCAGATAGCATTGCAAGCACTGTCATGACAAAACACAGAAATATGCAGATCAACGTGAAACAGTAAGTTAGTTTCCATGAAGTGCTTTGGCAACGTAGTCCTATAAATCTTTCCTTCAGCTAATTTGACTATACATTTCAGTAAGATAGAGGTAATGGATTAAGTGGAAGTTAGCTTGTGAAGTTTTCTTAGAAATAAAACTCCAACTTTATCCATCCATGCCAGTTAAACACTGTAACTAAAACTTCCAAATAAGTGCGAAAGGAGATGAAGGAGTTAGTTACCTTTTTTTGCTTAAACAGTCCAGAGGAAAATGGTGACTACAAATACAGCAGGCAAACTGTTAAGACTGACTGATCTAGGATACAGTGTTGCACTAAACTTCAGCCTCAAATTGTGCTAAATGCTCATCGTTAATAACATTTCCATCACTTTTTTTTTAAGTTTATTTATTTATTTTGGGAGAGAGCACGCACATGTGAGGAGGGGAGGGGTAGAGAGAGAGGGAGAGAGGGAATCAGGCTCCACTCTGTCAGCATGGAGCCCGATGTGGGGCTTGAACCCACAAACCGTGAGATCATGACCTGAGCCAAAATCAAGAGTTGGACACCCAACTGACTGAGCCACCCAGACGCCCCATTTCCATCACTTCTGATGGAGCTGTCTCTCCATTATCGTGGTCCCAATAAGTGATCTCTTTTCTCTCCTTCCCTCAGCCCTTGGCCACCACTAATCTGTTTTCTGTCTCTGAAGATTTGCCTGTTCTGGATATTTCATAAAAATGGGATCCTACGACATATGGTCCTTAGTATCTAGCATCTTTCATTTAGCTTGGTATTTTCAAGGCTCCTCCGTGTTACAGCATGTATCAGGATACCAAATTTTGATCCAGTCATCAGTTGATGGATGCGTGCTACTTCCATTCTTTGGCTATTTGGAATATTGCAGCTGTGAACATTTGTATACAGTTTTTGTGTGAACATAGGTTTTATTGTCTCTTTGGTATTGTGTTAATTTGCTAGGGCTGCAATACCAGAGTAACCATAGATTGGATGGCTTAAACAATAGTAATTTATTGTCTCAGTTCCGGAGGCTAGAAGTTCAAGATCAAGGTGTCAGTAGATTTGGTTTCTTCTATTTTATTTTATTTTATTTTATTTTATTTTATTTTATTTTATTTTATTTTATTTTATTTTATTTTATTTTATTTTATTTTATTTTATTTATTTTATTTTATTTTATTTTATTTTATTTTATTTTAATTTTAATTTT